TTCGAAAAAAAAAACTATCAAAGCCGCGAACTTTCGAAAAAAAAAACAATCAAAGCCGCACGCTTTCGAAAAAAAACAACTATCAAAGCCGCACACTTTCGAACAAAAACTATCAAAGCCGCGTACTATCAGAGCCGCGCACGTTTTGACGATACCGATACAATTGAATTGCCGATTCTACCCAACGGTTACAGTTCCCTTGACAAAATTGCTTTGTAGGCCTACTATTTCTTTTTTTTTTTAAACAATGTCCCTGAAACTACTTTCCTGTTGAGTCAATTGACAGAGTGAATGAAGTGTGTTCTTTTTGTGCCATATAAAAGTACAAGTAGTTTTCAAATCTACGAACTTTTTACGTCTTGTATTCAAATAATAAGATTTTTTTTCTTTGAATAGGTATAAGAGTACAGCGGGTGTACAAAAAAGAACAATTACTCAAAAGACAATTAGTGGTAACGACAAAGGGAATGTCTATCAACGGTATTATATGCTGGTCCCAAGCCCAGTAACACTCAAAGCGGACTTAAATTATTTTTAGATGGTATTGGTTTTGGTAATTGGCAATCTTGTATCGATATCGTCAAAAAGTGCGCCCTCTGGTAGTGCGCGGCTTTGATAGTTTTTCTACGAAAGTGCGCTGCTCTGATGTTCTGACAGAATGCACAAGTGAAACTACTGGTTAACAAAAATTGAACAATACTGGGGGGGAGGCTCTCGTGGGTTAACCGTACGATGTTTGCCTCTCATACAACAGGTCGCGGGTTCGAAACCTGACAGCTACGGGGGAAAAAATCTTCTCTACAATGTTTCCGTTCACCTCCTTTCCGGCTCTTTCGCCATGTTCTATGGTCTGCTTTCTTCTCCATTTTCTGCCTCCCACTCCCACCCCCCTTTTGCCTCCTCCTCTGGGTTCCTCTTTCTGCTGCCTTTCTACTGCTACTCTTAGGCTCTTCGATGCTATCTTTCAGCCGTACTCCTAATCTTAGGGTAGGTAAGATCTAACATCTCGCCTTCTGATCTCAGATAAGAAGGCAAAAATCTAAGTCCCGTGCGTACGTTGCGCACGTTAAAGATCCCTTGGTATTTCTAAAAGCGATAAGAGTAAGCTTCGGCTGCGACAAAAATTCAAAATAAAATTAATTCCTACCTAAACGGTCAAGCATTCATGTTTCACGCACGCTCATATGACCGTATGCAGTTGCGAGCGCCGTAAAACACAAATAAGGACAATTCGAACTTGGAGCACTCGAGCTAGCGGTTGAAATAGAACTTGTGCTAGGAGTAAACTCAGGATATTGAATGGGTTACCCTCCATCTGTCAGGGAGAAATATGGAACAACGGAGAGAAATGAAGGAGAGGGGGACAAAAGATAGAAAGGAAATATTAATAAATGCTTCCTAGTCTATTTCCTGTGGGTTATTGGCTTGTGCTATGGTGTGGTTTGCTCCTTCTTCCTGTCAAACATCTGTTGTCCGTATCGCTATTCGTTCTTTTCTTTGTATTTTACTCTCTAGTGACACCTATAATCTTCAAATCTTACGTACGTGACCTATTTGTGTTGCCGTAAAACTATTACTAAAACTAAAAACTAGACTATTCCGTACACAAATTCCATCTATATGTTTTAGAGAATTCGCCCTCGAAACGGCCAGTGAAGGGTGGGGGATGGAGGTGTGGATGGATGGAGGGGATGAGGGTTGAGGGATGATAGGACGGGAAGTATTGGGGG